AGGACAGTTCCCAGGAAAATGGGCTCTAGAAAATAATGAAGTGGTGAATCATTTCAAGGCTTCTTGCTCTGAGGTAATTTGTATCATTTCCTTCTTCTTCCCCAAGATCAACGTTGGATGCTCAACCGACAGCTCATCTGCTGATCCCGTGAGACTGGAATTTTCGAGGGACTTTGGGGCGACCTGGCACCTGCTGCTCCCCCTCTGCTTCCACAGCAGCAGCCACGTCAGCTCCCTGTGCTCCACCGAGCACCACCCGAGCAGCACCTACTACGCGGGAACCACGCAGGGCTGGAGGAGGGAGGTCGTGCACTTCGGGAAGCTGCACCTTTGCGGGTGAGGACCTGCTGCTTGGCGCCACATTTGTTTCTCATCTGACAGGTTGTCCCTGAAGTCATTGTTGACTTGCTGCTTTATCGGGGGAAATTTCCACCCTACGTGTCTTCCTCAGTTCTCACTCGAAGAAGATCAATGGATATTTAAAATGTAGGACACTGAGGTGACAAAACTACTAACTTAACAATTAGAAGGTAGATTTTAAGAGCACACTGTGGACTGCACCCTGTAGTGGGGTTCCTATCCCCATGGGTGCTTATTAGATCCATTAGGAAGCAGCAGAAATGTGGTTTTCGCCTCAGGTTGTGACTCTCTTCCTGCTCACCCACCTCACAATATAAATGCAGTTAGAATTTTATGACTTTCAAACATCTACCTGTATCTCCCATTCAGGGAGAGGACATGTAGGGAGGATGGAAGTCCACAGAATGTTCTGGTGTCTCATAAGAAAAATTGTTAGCACATTTCCCACAGACATTTCTACTTTTTCAACCTCTCTCAGCATTCTTGTTACATATATTTGACTCTTCTGTTGAAAAGCAATTTGGAGATAAAGGACTTCAAGCCTAATAGAAATGAAATAAAAAGTATATTTCAAAAAATAAAACTAATAAGTAAACAAAGAGAGGAAGTCAACAAAGCAGGCTGCCTCGAAATTTGTGTTTTGTCTCAGAATAAAGAATTTGTTCTTTGAGTATGTCAAAAAAGAAGAAAGCACTAATATCATATTTTCAAGATGGAAAGAGATTTAGATTCCTGATGTGAAACTGAGCATAATTAGAGGTCTTGGGTCTTCAAGCAAAACTACTAATGCCTAGTACTTTTCCAAAAGGGTGAAAGTGGATTTTCAAAAGTCTGCATTCTCTTTGAACTTAAATTCATTCCCTCATCATTGTCTCATCAGCATAATTTTTATAATTTGATTGCTAAGGGCTTTAATATTTTGTGTTGTCAACTGTGTCATTTTCTAATCCTTGCTATTACATCAGGACAATATTCTAATAGGAAATGTAACTCTTTCAAAAAATTAGCATTACTAAGCAAAATGCCCTCCAGCTTCTTTAGAATGGACACCAGAGGAGGTGAGGAGAGTATCTGGAAATCTAGGAACACACAGAGCTGATGACTCAGTCAGCACAACCAGAAAGCTACCATGGGTTGAGGGGAGTTTGTCCATAGAAGAATTGAGCAGGGGAAAATAGCTCAGGAAAAACTTTTTATCCAGAGTCAGTTTTAAGATTATATGTTACAAGAAATATAAAGAGGCTTATAAAGAAAAGTGGAAGAACGTACTGGAAAGATAATGGGAAATTGCTTGGACACCACTTAGGAAGAGTGAGGACCTCAGCAACAGGGGTTTGTGATCCTTGTTTTTATCATGGTGTCATTAACATCACTCAGCAAACCACAGGTTTTATTTTCTGGGAATCTTAATTCCAAATTTCAAGCAAAGAAAATCTGAACCTCTCAGCTATGGCCAGAAAGCCAGTGTTCCAACAGAAGCAAAGCTGCCCAAAGACCCTATCTATGGGTGGGGCAGGTGGCGGAAAAGGCCTGGATAGCCGATAGGCTCTGTTGTGGTCTGAATGTTCATGTCCCTACCAAAATTCAGGTTGAAATTCTACCCCCCAAGGTGATGGTATTAGGAGGTAGGTGGGGCCTTTTAGGGAGTGATTAGGCCATGAGAGTGGAGCCCTCATGATTAGCATCAGTACCCTTCTAAAATAGTCCCCATAGAGCTGCCTTGCCTAGTCCACCATGTGAGGACACAGCAGGAAGGCACCCATCCACAAACCACAAAGTGAGCCCTCACCAGATACTGAATGTGCTGGCTCCTTAATCTCGGACTTCCCAGCCTCCAGAACTGTGAGAATTAAATTTCTGTTCTTTATAAGCTACCCAGTTTATGGTATTTTGTTATGGCAACTTGAACAGACTAAGACAGTCACCTTATGAATAGAATATTCCACCAAACTCCATCATAGTATTGCTGAGAAGCTCCAGGTTTTCTCTTTAATGGACCTCTACTTTGCTCCAATTGCCCAGTTAAGAATTAGATTAAATAGAAAACAACCCTAAAGATAGGTTGGAGGCCATGATTTTAGATTGTTTGTCGAATGGAGACTTGTTTCAGCAACTTCCCACATGAAAATAATCCTATCTCAAGGAGTGTGAAATCAGGTCACAGAGATCTGCCATCAGAGGCACTGAGTGAAGATGCCCGTGCCAGGAGAGTGCTCCAGTGTCCTAGAGACCACCTCACTAAACATTTAGAGATGTCCAGTGTGCTGTGCTCACATACAAGGCTCCACACTATAATTTGGAAATTTGAACAAGAGAAATGCGTATGTCTGTATTTTCATCCACTGGTGAAAAGCAGCTTATAAAACACAATCCTATAATAATGTACAGAACTTAGACGGTCATGTTATTTGTATTCCATGTCATTTTTATTTCTATGAAAAGAAAGTAAATGCGTTAAGAAGGCATGCCCATTCCAGAATGATATAAACATACTTCTCAAACTGCCTTCAACCATTTCTGTGAAGAGAAGAATTTGCCTTAATAGTGTTGTCTAGTCCTTGTTTCAGGAGAAGAATTAGCACTCTTCTTAAAACCCATGCAGGCATGAATTGCTGGAAGGCAAAAGTTAAATTTTCTCCAACTCAGTGAATCATTCCTTGGGTTGTATTCAACATGATACATAATAATGGCACAAGTGCTAGATGCTAAAAAAAAATATAAAATCCATGTTAAATTACCCTTTTCTGTGCATTTGTTGGACACTAGATACACAACAAAAGTTTTCAGGTGAAAAATGGCCATTTTTTTTGCCTGTACATATAGTCAATTTAAATTCAAAAAAATAAGTACTGAATTTACATGTAATTTTATTCACATCACCTTTGTGTTTTTTTAGTCTAGAGTCTTTTTGTCTTTAAAACTTCCTAATTGTTTTTGCTTTATGCAGTTTCATAACAAGTCATCCGAAACCTCTATTTAATGAAAGCAGTGTTGTGTGCTTGAAATTTTAAGTTTATCTTTAAAAAACAGATCCTTTTGAATACCACTGGCTTAGGAGAACAGATGCTGACATTCACCAAGGAGGGTGGCAGTGAGAAATTTTCAAAATAAGATTTCAGTGGAAGGGAACCACAGCGAAACCAGACCCTTCAGCCCATTTATCATAGTGCTTGCAGTTTCTGTGTCAAGGCAGGTGAACAATAATAAATATCTACCCAAGGTGGTTCATTTGTATTCGGAACATTTGAATAAATAAGAAGTTCAAAAGAATCCTTGTAGACTTTTGTTAAAAGGAAAACTCCGGCCATTTCCCTTAGCTCAGCAGTCTGAAAGTTCAAAAGGTAAGTCCTTCTTGCCAAAACTAAACTCTGACAAGTATTTGAAAATAAAGTTTAATTACGAACTGGCATTTTGGGAGCAGCTTGATATAGTTGGATTCTTGATACAAACAATGAAATTAGGGTTAAAATCATATGTAGGAACTTGACTCCAGCTTTACTATCAACTAGGCTTTTAGAAACCTAACAAATGCATTTCCCTCCCACCATCCATCCCCAACTCTAATGTTTGACTTCTAATTTCTGTTTCTCATATAAAAAAACTATTCAGAATTTAGTTTTTATGACAATTGAAAATTGAGAAGATTCACAAGACACAAAAATAAATGGATATGCCATCTCTATAGCCTGCTCCTCTAAAATAAATCCATCTTCTTTGAACTGAGTTTTACACATGATATAATACATTAAACTGTTTCTAGACTGACCTCAGTATGTAGATTATTTCCAAGGAGCTAACTTATCATCAACAATATGATAGGACAATTCATTTACAAAAGGAAAATTGTGTTTAATTTAAAAAGAAATTAAGAAATAAGAGACATGTAACTGAAAGTAAATCTGATTTTGTCACCTTTTCTCTTAAGATAATCCATTGGGGCTTTCTGTTTCTAGTAAGATAAAATCCAAAAAAAAAAAAAAAACTCAGTTTAGTTCATAAGGCCTTTCCCAACAAATTAGATGCAACAAACATTTACTGAGCATCTACTGTGTGTGAAACGCTATGCCATCCACCATTAAAAGGTACAAAAAAGAAAGAGACGTGGACATAGACCTCTACGCACTCAGGGCGTGAATACACTTTTAAATAACTCGAGCTCTGGTAACTATAGTAATGGAAATCCCATCAAAACTATGGAAGAGAGGGAAAGAGAAAAATTGAAAGATTGTTCCTGAAATGGCGAGTCATGTTTTCTACTTCTGGAGTGTGGTACACAGGCAGTAACTGTCCCTTCTTCATTGATCAGATGCGCTTACTTTGAAGGTACATTGTTCTGTTGATTGTTTTTTGAAAGACTTGTATCTCTTTGCCAGATCTGTGCGTTTCAGATGGTACCAGGGATTTTACCCTGCTGGCTCTCAGCCAGTGACGTGGGCCATTGATAATGTCTACATCGGTCCCCAGTGCGAGGATATGTGTAACGGCCATGGCAGCTGTGTCAATGCAACCAGGTGTATATGTGATCCCGGCTACTCGGGTCCAACCTGTAAAATAAGCACCAAAAATCCTGATTTTCTCAAGGATGATTTTGAAGGTAATCTTTTCTCCTAAATTCTGTGTAGCTTTGTGAAAGAGCTTATATTTTAAACACAATTTGTGATAGAAAACCAATCATTAACTTCACTATAATATTTCATTATTATCATTACAATTGTGAATACCCAAGAATTCATTCAGTTTTGAATTTTATAGGGTTCTAGTTTTGAAACAATGGTCAGTGAGAGAGAACAAGACCTTAGTTGAGAAAAACTAAGGCCATTTTCACCACTTTTTCTACCGCATGTAATTTCCAATTAATGATAGTTTTAGAAAATGTCTATAGAAGTTTAATCTTATGTGGAGGAAAGAATTTTCCAGAAATATAAGTTCCTGTCATTGTTTTACCACTAACTCATGAAACAGCCTCTCATCACTTTCTGTACTTCAGCGTTACACCTAGAATCCAGCATCATAATGTGTAAAGATAATGTTACAACATAGAAAAATGTGTCATGTAATAATTGGAAAAAAGCATTTAAATTGTATACACACTATGATCAAACTGTAGAAAAACAGCTTCGTAAGAGAAAGTCTTAAATATAATAGCTATCTATATTAGAATAGTAAGATTAAAAGATCTTCTTTTTGCCACATTTCCTATAACATTGTTATACTTTTGATATTATAATACATTTTAAAACTGGATCTAGGTATAGCCATACAATGAAACATTATTCATGCATGAACATTGAAAACATTATGCTAAGTGAAGCCAGACACAAAGGCCACCTATTGTGGGACCCCATTTATATGAGATATTCAAAGTAGGCAAATGCATTCAGACAGAAAGCAGATTAGTGGTTGCCAGGGGCTGGAGGAGGGGAGTATAGGGAGTGACTGCTTAATGGGTACAAGGTTTCCTTTTGGGGTGAAGAAAGTTCTAGAACTAGGTATCAGTGATAGTTGCACAAGATTGTGAACGTGCTAAATGCCACTGAATTGTTTATTTTAAAATGGTTAATCTTGTGTTATGATATTATTCCACAATGAAAAAAAACAACTAAATCTGAGATGAGTGCACAGATTTGAGAGCTAGTTTTAAAAGATATTATTTGATAGAAAATAATAAAGTTTACCAAAATTTCTCCCATTAAAATTTCTCCATTTTTAAAAATATTATATTATACCTGCCTGATACTGTCCTCACATTAGAAAGGACACAGTGAAGAGGCTGGTGGAAAGGCCACATACCCTCCCTTACTTTTAGCCTGTGCCAGTCTCTGACTAACAAGTGTCCTTTCTTCAGTGTGGAGGAGCAGAAAGGAAGGGCCCATCTGGCCCAACCGTAGATACTCAAGAGAAGACCCGCTTCTCCTGTCACGTGGACCCTTTAATTATACCAGCCAAGGCTAAACAATTCAAACACGCTAAAATGTTGAAGAGGCCTCTTATCCCAAAATATATGACTTTAATATTTATGACTTCGGCCGGGCGTGGTGGCTCACACCTGTAATCCTAGCACTCTGGGAGGCCGAGGCGGGCGGATTGTTTGAGCTCAGGAGTTCGAAACCAGCCTGAGCAAGAGCGAGACCCCGTCTCTACTAAAAAAAATAGAAAGAAATTATCTGAACAACTAAAAATATATAGAAAAAATTAGCCGGGCATGGTGGCGCATGCCTGTAGTCCCAGCTGCTCGGGAGGCTGAGGCAGTAGGATCGCTTGAGCCCAGGAGTTTGAGATTGCTGTGAGCTAGGCTGACGCCACGGCATTCACTCTAGCCAGGACAACAGAGTGAGACTCTGTCTCAAAAAAAAAAAAAAAAAGAAAAAGAAATATTTATGACTTCATGTTTTAAAACTACATAATGCATTTACCATATTCATTTTAAAAATATCGTATGACTGACTGTACTTGGGGTCATAGGTAAACCACATTTTCCACTTTTTTCAGGTCAGCTAGAATCTGATAGATTCCTATTAATGAGTGGCGGAAAGCCATCTCGCAAGTGTGGAATCCTTTCCAGTGGAAACAACCTCTTTTTCAATGAAGATGGCCTGCGCATGTTGATGACACGAGACCTGGATTTATCGCATGCTAGGTAATCATTTTTAGATGCTGTTGAAAAACCACATTGTAATATACAGTAGTAGAACATAATCAAATCAGAAAGAAGCAGAGAAATCTCCAGACAAGACCTCCAATTAGAAATGCTGAACTTTTCTCTTGTCAAAGCCTCCATTAAGATGCAATTTATATAATTTCCATTCTACAACTGAGAGAGATTAGAGATTTGTTCAATAACTACATCAGAAAGGAAACATCTAAACAGACAAAAGTTAATACCTGGTATTTTGTAAGACTGAGACTGGGAGATAACAATGTTTAATTTACTTGAAGAAAATAATATTGTATCTGCTTTTTATCCACCTTGTACACAACACTTTTTATTAGCACTTGGACTATGTCAAAAGTATTTACGTTTATTACACCATGCTCAGTGAAAGTTTAGTCAAAATACAATATATCTTCAAATTATTCACAATTAATTTTATCTCCATTAGCAATTTAAGAACATGTGAAGTGCAGCCTTATTCTTTAAAAGCATCTTTGCAATGATTCACTGGCACATTCTAAGCAGTCATTTTCTAAATTGAACACAGTCACTCAGAAACAAACATTTTAAACTGGCTCAGAGGATTATATCCTGTCATGATGTGTATGCCTTGATCATTTGATGAGCCAAAAACTTAACTAGGAAAATAAGAAAGGCAGTTTAACATGTGGAAAATGGAACCCTGACCTATTTTTGCAAGTGAACAAAGAAACCATATTTCTGTTTTTTGAAATATTTCAGAGTATCTTAAAATACATCTTAACATGTTTATTCCCTCTTTCTCCTAAATCTCTTATTTATCGATTATAAATTTGACCATGCAATCATAGAAAATACAGTTCTGTGAGATAATTTTACAGTTATAGAAAATAAGGTTTTACTATCTTTATCTTATCTTAATGTATATAGTCTAATTTGGTATTGCTTATCTAAGATTTTTATTAACAACTGAGATATCTAATTTAGTAATTATTAGGTTTTTCCAAATAAGTAATTCTGACGTGGTTTATCTATCACTGAATTAATATAAAGATTTTCTCAATACAAATAGACAATATGCTATAAGTTTTTCTCTGTAATGATTATTGTTTTTATAAATGTAAACATCAGTAGGCACTAACCATGTATGTTTTCATTAATCCAATGTTAAAAGCTCCATTATTTAACTCATCTCAGTATCATGCTGTGTAGGATTTGCATATATTGACCTGAAAATGCTCCATGTAAAATCCCAATTTTTTCAGGGTCATGAGATAAGTAAATGGGAGGGAAAATCTCATGAGGAATAAATGGTTTTATACATAGTACTGATAATATTTTTTATTATAAGTCCCAATATATTTCCTACGTTTAGCATGCATACATTATTGGGTATGTGTGTTGGGTTACAGTGAAATTTATTCTGCATTACCAGCCAACGTAGTGGCCAGACCAGGCATCAGCAGCTTGCCTGCCAAAGATAACATGTGAGCTAGTTTTCATTGGCACCCCAGCTGGTTGCTGCCACTCTGTCCACCTCCCTGCCAGCTGGGAAAGCTGCCACTGGCTAGCTGCCACAGTTCTCAGTGGCCAGTATCATCCATCCCCAGCCCCAGCAACAGTCAGAAGCTGGCACAGCCCACCACCACCACCAACCCACACTCATGCTCCCCTGCCCCTGGCACAAAGGAGAGAAAAGGCGCCCAGGCTTGACATACCTCTTCCAAGAGATGCCTGGCCTTTCACAAAGAGGTGCTACAAGCACTGAATTTAAATGTGTCTCCCAAAACCAATCATAAGACATCTAGAAAACTCCTGGTGAAACCTGAGAATGGATGATTTTGCCAATAATGTGGCATAAACTACATTAATTACATTCTTCCAGTTGCAAACACTAAGGATCCAAATTTATCTTAAATAGATGACAATACACACTCCCAAACCCGCACAGCCTCCCTCCCATCTTCTTACAGAGTAGCCAGAGGGCACAATGAATGCTTACTTCCCTCAGATTCACCTGAGGAGAGATGTGAGCTACAAATGTGGGCACAGAATTGCCTTTTTTCAGACTTCACATTTAATTAACTCCCTTTCACATTAAAAAGGAAAATCAGGTTTTGAAGTGATTGCTTTGGACATTCATTAAATCATCATATTTATTAAAGCCATTTATTCCCCTATGTTGTCCTGTCTGCTTGTCTTTTCTTAACATGGATTTCTCCTTGAAGTGAGAGTCTACCTTAATGTTTACTAATGTCAGATTTGTGCAGTTCTTCATGCGACTGGGCTGTGGGAAAGGTGTTCCAGACCCCAGGAGTCAGCCTGTGCTTCTACAGTACTCTCTCAATGGCGGCCTCTCGTGGAGTCTTCTTCAGGAGTTCCTTTTCAGCAACTCCAGCAACGTGGGCAGGTACATTGCCCTGGAGATACCCTTGAAAGCCCGTTCTGGTTCTACTCGCCTCCGCTGGTGGCAACCATCTGAGAATGGCCACTTCTACAGCCCCTGGGTTATCGACCAGGTCAGTCCCTTCAGGATTAACTATTTTAATTTTTGTCACTTGAGCTGAATGTGGCCTTAGAAAGCATTCACTCCAACCCCCTTGTTCAGTAGACAAACCCAGGACTGACAGTTGAATGACTTGCCCAAGGGCACACAGCAAGATCAGACATGGCATTTGGCGTCCTTTCATTCTCTATTCCTTCAATTGCCTAAGCTTATAAAAATAAATGGCACAACAGAAGGCCTGGGTCCTGCTCATAGAGCATCCTGCCATATGGATAGAGGGACTTTATCAAGCGTGATACAAGGTTATAATTCTCTGAAAAAGAAAATGTGCAAATTAGCATTGGTGCCACATGCAGTAGTTCCCAAATCTTCTTTCCTAGCCTTGGAAGAAAAAAATAAATAAATCTCCCCAACATTCTTATAGACTGCTCTAAAGGATCTTTATACGTAACAAAATGTGTATCAAATAGAACTCAAAGAACCTGTCAACAAACCATGGAGTTCATGCAAAGAATTGGAACTGAAATGCCTTAGGATACAACTGTCCTTAAATAGAAATTTTACATGGGAAATAATTGCATGTAAGCCAAATTTTACTTTCCTAGCTTGGGTACATGTAGTTTCCAAAGGCACAATTTGGCCCATGAATGCTGTGAATGGTTTCGTCAATCCTTTGATTTGTTTTCTGTAGCTTCTTGCCAGATGGGCAAGGCGACCACGTAAACAAGAGCATTCTGAAAGGCCCCTAACATTATGCTAGCTGTGTAGTGCCAGTTCTGAGCAGGCTGACAGATAAAAACAAACAAACAAAAAAGACTGAACTTTCCTGTATCTTAAAACCACATTGAAAATTTGTTTTTTTTTTTTAATACCTTTCAGATTCTTATTGGAGGAAACATTTCTGGCAATACAGTCTTGGAAGATGATTTCACAACTCTGGATAGTAGGAAATGGCTGCTTCACCCAGGAGGCACCAAGATGCCTGTGTGTGGCTCTACCGGTGATGCCCTGGTCTTCATTGAAAAGGCCAGCACCCGCTATGTCGTCACCACAGACATTGCCGTGAATGAAGATTCATTCCTACAGATAGATTTCGCAGCCTCCTGCTCAGTCACAGACTCTTGTTATGGTAAGTCTCCCACTTCTAGGTAGAGGGACAGAAATGTGTGCATGCACACCCATGCTACCTCTACCACAGGACTATTTTGCACCTCAGATAAGTCTGGAAATAAAACACAAGTGCACTTGGAGCCAAACCATACTGTATTCTTGAAAATACTGTGTGTAAATTGACTTTTAAAAGTCTATTTTTGAAAGCAACAGAATATCAGCTTATTTTTTAAGCATATGTACATGAAGACTTGTTTTATAAAGTAAATAATAATAATTTGTAAATCTAGATTCTTTTTTGTATCAGACTTGTAGAATAAAGGATACACTGGTGGTGTTTTTCCATTCCAGGACTCTCGTCACATAGAGAATGCCAGGAATAAGTAATAAGATTTATACATGTATTTGTATATTCATGGATTTTAATTCTCAGGGATTTGGATTAGACTAGTTATTGTCTCTTTTCCACATCCCCAGGAATGATGAAATTTTGCTGTTCCCATTTTACCTTATATTTTTGCCATTGTGGGTCATAACACATTCTGGGCCACCCTCACTATGAATAATTTGCATCCCCAAGGTTGAGTATTTGTGTCAGCACACACACACACGTACACCCCATACACGCACACACGCACACATAAACCAGTCTTAGAAGGAATTAAAACTGACATCATTGCACTCTTGGACCCTTCACCTGAACTTACAGACCTGTCAGGATTCTTAGAGTCTCCTAGTCTTTCGCCATCCCGTGCCCCTCTTCTTCCTAGAGATACAAACCAGGATGTTCACAAGGGCCTTGTTTGGTTTTAGATTCAGGGGGAGGGGCACTGAAATTTGAGGAATTTGATTACTTTCAAGGTCCTACAGAATCCAGATTTTTTTATATTTCCATTAGTTTGAACGTAATGGACCTATGTCAGAAGGAATTCCAGAAGTACTCTTTCTACCACAGACACAATCAGTCAACACCAGACTAGGCAGTGGGGGTAGAACTTTGAAAAGAGAAGATAGAAAAGTAGAAGGGACACACCCTGTCTTCAGAAGATACAGACTAGTTGAGGGTCCATGTGGGGTCCAGTAAATCAAGTGCTCTGTGGAGTGGTACTGATGCAAAAGGTAATGAGAACTTAAAGGGGGGAAAGATGACCAGTGGTTGGCCAATCCAAGAAGTTAAGGAACATTTCTCAAGGGAGCTAAGTCTTAAGTGGACCTTGAAGGTTGCAGTGGGTTTTAAGAGTGGATGGAGAAGAAAGGACACTCCAAACTAGGCTGGAAGCATAAGCAAAGAAGCAGATGTGGGCGTTCTCCCCATGTTTGGGGGAGACTATGAGCAGATCAGCCTGAACAGGCAATATTTACATCTAAAGGAGAAAAGCAGAGTGTATTGATTTTGAAAGCAGACTAGACTCTTACTCCCTCATTAACATGGGAAGTTTATGGGAGCCCAGAGGAGTAAGTTATCACGTGGTCAACCTGCAGCAGCACCAGGACTGACATTCTGCCCTCATGGGCCCAGTCACGTGTACTTTCTACCATAGGCTGGTGCACCCTCCTGAGAGAAGTTAAAATGAAAGATAACATGAAAGAGGAAAGTGGCTAAGTGGAGTTGGCAACAAATTATGAAGGGCCTCTTTTAAAAGGCAGGCACAGAATCTGTGCTTGATAAGGTCATGAACAGGAGAGTACAAGCACAGAGGGGGACGTGGTGTGTTTTAGGGAGATTAGCTCAGGATGAAGGTGGGTAGAGAAGAATCCCAGTCAAGAAGCCACAGTGGTAATCTCAGTGGGAGGCAATGCAGGCTTGCACTGTGTGGCATGAAGAGCACTGGAGTGGATAAAATTGATATGAGACAATGCAAACAAAAAGTCAAGAAGCAGCAGATCTCAGAACTAGGTAACAGGTTGAACAGAGGGGAGAGAGAAGAGTAAAATTTATCAAATAACTTCTAAATTTTGAACCCCGAAAACTAGTGTAAAAGTATTTCCATTGATAAAATTCGTTAGTTAAGAAGAGATGTTCGTTTATGACAGGAAATGGTAAGTTTTTCTTAGTTCAGGTGAAAGTAGTTCTAAGTGAAGATCTCCTTTAGTGAGGAGGATGTACAATATGGAAAGCAGGAACTTTGTCTACACTGTTCATCGCAATACACCCAGCATCCAGCACAGTGCTGGGCTCAATAAACACTGGTTGAATAAATAAAATCATTTTGAGTTTGGGAGATTCTGGCACAGAGGTAACAGTTGAAGTCCTATGAGTGTGCCTGTAGAATAGACGGCCAGAAACAAGGTCTGGAAAAACGCCCATAGCTGGGCAAGTTAGCAAGGGAGTCAGAATACAAATAAGAAAAGAGACTCAGAATAATACCCCCCAAAATAAAAGAAAGTTTCAGGAATCAGGGAGTCATCAATAATGTTCAATGCTGTAAGGAGAACAAGTAAAATGAAGACTGAAACCAGGCATTGTATTTACCTAGAAACCTCAGGGCAGCACATGGTCTCACACTGGCTGCTCAGGAGAGTCACCTGGGAAGCCTGAAAGCTCCTGACACCTTGGCCATGCCCCAGAAGAGTTCAATCAGAACCTCTGGTGATGGGGCCCAGGCATCAGTGGTTTCTAAAGGTACCCAGGGGATTTCAGTGTACAGCCAAGACTGAGAACCACAGCCATAGAGAAGGGAATTTCAGAGGGGAGGTGGGGGTTGAGGCATTTTATACAGTGAATAGGGAAAGAGAAATATAAGACAGGGGGTATAGGTTGAATGTTCCAGAAGAAGAAAAAGGAAAGAAAGAAGTATCTTTCCATAGACCCACAACATGACTACAAGCATTGGCACAAATTCCATGGCCTTCAACTATCTCCTTATATCGCTCCGATCTCCTTATTCCATATGTATCCCATAACACAGCAGGGCAAGGTATATAAGCAAAAGAGAGTTTACCATTTCTAAGGAGTTTCACCCATACCAGGAACAAAATTGACATTAGTTGGTCAGGATTCCTATAGAATGGTCAAAATTTTGAGAAGTCTGCTCAATTTTTTTTAACTATTTAAAAACTAATTATTAAAATATGCAATTAATATGTTCCCCATCTATATGTTAACCATTAAATGGGCATAATCCATTAATTTATAATTATTATACTATATTAAATTGTATAACATTTAAATAATACACTTATGTAGTATACAATCATTACAGTAAATTATATTTATAATGGTTATATGTAGTTATTCATATACTATAACTTTATGTGAAGCAATAATATTGCCATGATGATTGTTTTGAAAGTTTCTCATTATAAAAAGTCATTCAGGAAAATTTATCATTTTACTTGATCATACCCCCTTAAAAGAAAAATTATTTCAACATGGAAATTTAAAAATAATAGCTAATAATATACAGAGGGAAAAAATAATACTAGGAAACATTTCAAAGTAGGAAACATAAATATAGGGAAAAATCAAATTGATATTTGATTAAAATTAAAACATACAGAAACATGCTAAGTAATTATGATTCCTGGGTCTGCAGACATGTGTTTTTATCTAGAATAATGCTTCCTGTTTCAGCTATTGAACTGGAATACTCAGTAGACCTTGGATTGTCATGGCACCCACTAGTAAGGGACTGTCTGCCTACCAATGTTGAATGCAGTCGCTATCATCTGCAGCGTATCCTGGTGTCGGATACTTTCAACAAGTGGACCAGAATCACTCTGCCTCTCTTCTGGGCCACCCTCACTATGAATAATTTGCATCCCCAAGGTTGAGTATTTGTGTCAGCACACACACACACGTACACCCCATACACGCACACACGCACACATAAACCAGTCTTAGAAGGAATTAAAACTGACATCATTGCACTCTTGGACCCTTCACCTGAACTTACAGACCTGTCAGGATTCTTAGAGTCTCCTAGTCTTTCGCCATCCCGTGCCCCTCTTCTTCCTAGAGATACAAACCAGGATGTTCACAAGGGCCTTGTTTGGTTTTAGATTCAGGGGGAGGGGCACTGAAATTTGAGGAATTTGATTACTTTCAAGGTCCTACAGAATCCAGATTTTTTTATATTTCCATTAGTTTGAACGTAATGGACCTATGTCAGAAGGAATTCCAGAAGTACTCTTTCTACCACAGACACAATCAGTCAACACCAGACTAGGCAGTGGGGGTAGAACTTTGAAAAGAGAAGATAGAAAAGTAGAAGGGACACACCCTGTCTTCAGAAGATACAGACTAGTTGAGGGTCCATGTGGGGTCCAGTAAATCAAGTGCTCTGTGGAGTGGTACTGATGCAAAAGGTAATGAGAACTTAAAGGGGGGAAAGATGACCAGTGGTTGGCCAATCCAAGAAGTTAAGGAACATTTCTCAAGGGAGCTAAGTCTTAAGTGGACCTTGAAGGTTGCAGTGGGTTTTAAGAGTGGATGGAGAAGAAAGGACACTCCAAACTAGGCTGGAAGCATAAGCAAAGAAGCAGATGTGGGCGTTCTCCCCATGTTTGGGGGAGACTATGAGCAGATCAGCCTGAACAGGCAATATTTACATCTAAAGGAGAAAAGCAGAGTGTATTGATTTTGAAAGCAGACTAGACTCTTACTCCCTCATTAACATGGGAAGTTTATGGGAGCCCAGAGGAGTAAGTTATCACGTGGTCAACCTGCAGCAGCACCAGGACTGACATTCTGCCCTCATGGGCCCAGTCACGTGTACTTTCTACCATAGGCTGGTGCACCCTCCTGAGAGAAGTTAAAATGAAAGATAACATGAAAGAGGAAAGTGGCTAAGTGGAGTTGGCAACAAATTATGAAGGGCCTCTTTTAAAAGGCAGGCACAGAATCTGTGCTTGATAAGGTCATGAACAGGAGAGTACAAGCACAGAGGGGGACGTGGTGTGTTTTAGGGAGATTAGCTCAGGATGAAGGTGGGTAGAGAAGAATCCCAGTCAAGAAGCCACAGTGGTAATCTCAGTGGGAGGCAATGCAGGCTTGCACTGTGTGGCATGAAGAGCACTGGAGTGGATAAAATTGATATGAGACAATGCAAACAAAAAGTCAAGAAGCAGCAGATCTCAGAACTAGGTAACAGGTTGAACAGAGGGGAGAGAGAAGAGTAAAATTTATCAAATAACTTCTAAATTTTGAACCCCGAAAACTAGTGTAAAAGTATTTCCATTGATAAAATTCGTTAGTTAAGAAGAGATGTTCGTTTATGACAGGAAATGGTAAGTTTTTCTTAGTTCAGGTGAAAGTAGTTCTAAGTGAAGATCTCCTTTAGTGAGGAGGATGTACAATATGGAAAGCAGGAACTTTGTCTACACTGTTCATCGCAATACACCCAGCATCCAGCACAGTGCTGGGCTCAATAAACACTGGTTGAATAAATAAAATCATTTTGAGTTTGGGAGATTCTGGCACAGAGGTAACAGTTGAAGTCCTATGAGTGTGCCTGTAGAATAGACGGCCAGAAACAAGGTCTGGAAAAACGCCCATAGCTGGGCAAGTTAGCAAGGGAGTCAGAATACAAATAAGAAAAGAGACTCAGAATAATACCCCCCAAAATAAAAGAAAGTTTCAGGAATCAGGGAGTCATCAATAATGTTCAATGCTGTAAGGAGAACAAGTAAAATGAAGACTGAAACCAGGCATTGTATTTACCTAGAAACCTCAGGGCAGCACATGGTCTCACACTGGCTGCTCAGGAGAGTCACCTGGGAAGCCTGAAAGCTCCTGACACCTTGGCCATGCCCCAGAAGAGTTCAATCAGAACCTCTGGTGATGGGGCCCAGGCATCAGTGGTTTCTAAAGGTACCCAGGGGATTTCAGTGTACAGCCAAGACTGAGAACCACAGCCATAGAGAAGGGAATTTCAGAGGGGAGGTGGGGGTTGAGGCATTTTATACAGTGAATAGGGAAAGAGAAATATAAGACAGGGGGTATAGGTTGAATGTTCCAGAAGAAGAAAAAGGAAAGAAAGAAGTATCTTTCCATAGACCCACAACATGACTACAAGCATTGGCACAAATTCCATGGCCTTCAACTATCTCCTTATATCGCTCCGATCTCCTTATTCCATATATATCCCATAACACAGCAGGGCAAGGTATATAAGCAAAAGAGAGTTTACCATTTCTAAGGAGTTTCACCCATACCAGGAACAAAATTGACATTAGTTGGTCAGGATTCCTATAGAATGGTCAAAATTTTGAGAAGTCTGCTCAATTTTTTTTAACTATTTAAAAACTAATTATTAAAATATGCAATTAATATGTTCCCCATCTGTATGTTAACCATTAAATGGGCATAATCCATTAATTTATAATTATTATACTATATTAAATTGTATAACATTTAAATAATACACTTATGTAGTATACAATCATTACAGTAAATTATATTTATAATGGTTATATGTAGTTATTCATATACTATAACTTTATGTGAAGCAATAATATTGCCATGATGATTGTTTTGAAAGTTTCTCATTATAAAAAGTCATTAAGGAAAATTTATCATTTTACTTGATCATACCCCCTTAAAAGAAAAATTATTTCAACATGGAAATTTAAAAATAATAGCTAATAATATACAGAGGGAAAAAATAATACTAGGAAACATTTCAAAGTAGGAAACATAAATATAGGGAAAAATCAAATTGATATTTGATTAAAATTAAAACATACAGAAACATGCTAAGTAATTATGATTCCTGGGTCTGCAGACATGTGTTTTTATCTAGAATAATGCTTCCTGTTTCAGCTATTGAACTGGAATACTCAGTAGACCTTGGATTGTCATGGCACCCACTAGTAAGGGACTGTCTGCCTACCAACGTTGAATGCAGTCGCTATTATCTGCAGCGTATCCTGGTGTCGGATACTTTCAACAAGTGGACCAGAATCACTCTGCCTCTCCCTCCTTACACCAGGTACGGATGCTTCTGCAGGCAGTGAACCCCAATGTGATAAAATTTGGCATGTCAGATTTTAGCACAGCAAGTTTAAATGAGATATGTGAGATTTTGTTACTCGTTCATGGTATTACCATGTATGATTATTAAGGCTATCTTAATAGGTAAAATAGAAAGTTTTACCAGTTTTTGTGGTGGCATTATTCTGTGGTTTCCCAAAATCCAGGCCTTTACTGACTTTTAACACTAATATTTTTAAAGAACGGCCTACACAAGAAAACAGTGGCTGCATCCCCTGGTTTTTCCAACTTAATTCAGAGATGCCAAGATCAAGTCATTTAAAATAGCTCCATTGGATAAGAAGTAGATTAAAATGAAGTCTGTTTTCTCCCTGTCAGATTGCTATAAATATAGGAGTGAGTGATGTCATATAAGTAAATGTAGCAAATAAACGTGTATTAAAATTAGCATCTGATTTTGAAATTTTATTTTGAACAGTATCTTAAGAATTATCACCTGAAGCATTCTTTCATGTGAAAAACAATTATAACTGCTTCATTCATTGTGTCTATGGGGGGCCATTGTGGCTTAATAAAATTGCCTGGTAAACGCTGGTGAAGAAGTTAAATCTAAACTATCTGTGCATTTGCCCTCCTGTTTGAGTAAAGCAGAAATTAACTTTGCCTAGTGGAATAGTGTTATATGACTTTCTTTCACCATCTAAAGGAAGTGCTGATTATAGGAAAAGTTTGAAATCTTGATAGAAACTGCCACTCCCTCCAAGAAAATGGTGATCAGTTGCTGCCGTTAAGAAATAAGCAAAGCACCCAATGCAGTGTGCGGAACAGGAGTTATAGTCTGGGCTCATTATTGTTTTGTCACTTCCCCACAAATGAAGAATGAATAAATCTTCCTGGCAAATGACCATAAAATTCTACCATTCATCTAGAGCATAACTTTTCTTGGGATTATCATAGATGGGATGGTTTCAGTTACTAACAGCCTGGGGCTGCTTTACAATTGCTGGCGGAGAGGTGCAAGACTATATTAACTGTCAGCGGAGTTGCCAAGTTTAAATGAGATACGTGAGATTTTGTTGCTCATTAAAGGTGTTGCCACTCATGAATTATTAAGGTGATCTTAGTAAGTAAAATAGAAAAAACTCCATTAAGGCAGCCGTCTTTTAAGTCTTTATGAATTCTATGAATTATTACCCAGCTACTTGGTAGCATTTTGCAAATAAGCGACATTCTAAGATTTACTCCAATTAGTCATTATGCCCTTGAGTCTTTTGCTTGAGAAAAGTAATTATTCCTCATCTTTTAATCTACCTTTTAATTGTCTCTTGCACATACCCACAAGAATTTTGACCCTTTCAAATGATATTTGAAAAAATCTGATGAGCCTCTATTTTCTCCTGTTACTGTATTGAAAATATGTGATTTCTTTGTTATGTTACCCTCAAGGCTCATGTACAATGGTCTTAAAGGCAACACTGCCTTATAACAAGGCCCTCTGGGTAATTCAGAAGGAAACGTGCCTGGATGGAGCCCAAGTCAGACCCACTTCTTACTGTGTTCTGCCATGTGCTAAAGATTATTAGAACAACATGCCAGTCACAGAGCACTTTGCCTCAAACATGAGTTAACATATTTATACTATGTCTGCTTTTACATCCAGTCACTTGGTACCTATGATGTGTCTTTGTTTTAAGTTGAACTTACTGCCTCAATGTCTGGAAATGTGTCGAAACGTCAATGTTTATGTTCTGGTCCACCAGGCCAGAACTGAGGATTTCAGTTTGTAGCTCTTTGCTGTAAACAAACATGATGCTGATAACTTAAAGACGTGTGCTAAGTAGAGGTTAGGAGTGTCTGTGACCATGTGACAATTGCAGCCTCCTCTACTCGAATATCATGTAATCACAAGGTCTGGATCCCAGTATTGTTGGCGAGAGAGACAACCTGAGGCTGGTTGTCTACAAACAGACATCAAACCATTCACTAAACTGAAGTGGCCAGTAATCATCACTAGCAATTATTCATTCATGTAGTCATTCATTAAAAAAATATTTCTGAATCGTTTAATTATGTACTAGGTCTATGTAGGAGCTGAACTTATCCCTGCCTTGAGCAGCTTTCAGTTCAGTGGGGAAAGGGATATTTACCAGAAATCACCAATAATCACAGAAGTAAATATAAAATTCAACTGTGATAAGTGATGGAGAACAGGTACGTGGTGCTCTAAAATTATATGTCAGAGGGAGATTTGACTTGGCTGAGAAGGCCAAGGAATGCTTTCTTGAAAAAGGATAATCGAGGTAAGATACGAAGGATGAACAGGAGCTAATTAGGTAAAGTGTGCAGGTAAGAGTGTTCCAGGCAAGGAAAAGAGTCTACAGTATGAGGAAGTAGGCATATTTGAGACGCTGAACATATAGATCAGAGAGGAGCAGAGAGAGGTGTGAGAAGGTGCCAGACTGTGAAGAGCATTGCAAGTTGTATTAAGGATTTGGGAATTCATTATAGGGACACTTAAAAGCCTGTTAAAGTGTGTGGGAATAGGGAGACATGATCAGATTTGCATTCAGAAAAGCTTTTTTCTCCAGTGTGGAGATCACATTGGAGAGGGTAAGAGTTGATGTGAAGAGGCCCTTAAAGAGGTCAGAAATGCAGGTTGTTGGGCCAGGTGCTGGAGCAGACATGGAGAGAAGTGGAGACACGGAAGCAGCAAAACTGACCGAGCTTGCTGATGAAATAGACACAGGAGGCTGAGGGAAAGGGCAGTGCTGAAGATGAACCCTGGTGTCTGAGTTGCAAAACTGAGTGGATGCTGGTGCGTCTCACTGGGAAGGGAACACGGAGACTAAACACAAGGTACATTACACTCTGCTCCAGACATTGTTAAAACCTAAATAATTGGGTAGATTCATAGTTTCTATTCCTTGCCGTACACATTGATTAAGTTAGATCTTCCTCAAAGAAGATCTACCAAAAAAAAGAAAAAGAATGAAAAGCATTGCAGTATAGTGGAGAGCTCTGCCTCTTTATTCCTTGGAGCTTTTAAGCAAGTCATTTCCTGTCTCTTAAACTTCAGTTTCTTCATCTGAAAAATGGAGATCCTTTTTACCATATGAAAATCTCATAAATGTGCATGGAAGTGTTTGGAATAGTGTCAAGATTTATAAAACTATAAACCACTTTACTTTTATGAGTTAGCCACATAACTTATTAACCATAGCACAAGTTTATTATCAGATTTCAACTTCAGACTAAGAAATATTCCTAAATCCCAGGTCAGCTTAACAAAAGTGAGCCCATGATAATGGTAGGACAATGTCTTAAGTTTTTGCCCTGGAGGAGGTCACAGTCTGTTTAAGGAAAATGAGAAGTGTACCCAAGAAACAACTGAAATTTAATACATGTTGTATATAATTTAGAGCTTCACTGAGGAATACGCTAGAATCGCCCTAGGTATTGAGAAATGGGGAAATGGGAGGTAACATTAAATACCAGAGTTAGGAGAGTTTCATGGAAGAGATGAGGCCTGGCCTTGATAGCTAGGAATTAGACAGGTAAGGGGAAGAACATTCTAAATCAGGGGAACAATATGAACAGGGCGGAGACATGTGGACATGAGCCTGGGAGAAGCACAGGAGTTGCTGATTAAAGCAGAGGGCTCCTACCTGGGAGCTGTGGAAGGATGCTGGTTAGTAGGGTTGGATTAACTTACCGCAATCATTGAAGCAAGGCAGAGGAGTTTGGACTTAGAGAAAAAAATGAACTATGGTGGGTTTTGAGCTGAGAATATTCTTCCAAGAAAAGAATGGGGAGAGCAGAGAGACTCAAATAAGAGAAGGTGGCACAGGTGTTGTGATAATAACCTAAAGACGAAGTAAGCATTGTCTGAGCTGCAGCTAACATGCAGGGGATGAGGCAGATACTACAGAACGTGTCAAAAGAAGAACTGATAAAACTCAAGGCACTAACTTCTCCTTCTCCATTACACACACTGAGAGATAACTCTAAAGCTTGGGAGAGTAGTGAGAAGAGGTGGGGAGAGAACTAAAGTTGATTCCAGGAGGGACAGTATGGAAAATATAGTCAGATGATGCTGAACTAAATGTGATGACAGGAAATGCAAATAAAAACATCCATTTGATAGAGATGCGAAGAGCTGAGCCCAAGGGAAGGTAATAAACATTGGAGGCACGAGCATAGAGGTGACAGGCAATGCTGTAAAACTGCCTCTGCTTCCCCTAAGAAAATGTTTAAAAAGAAAAGCGAGGACTCCTAAATTTATTAGCAGAATGAGAGGAAATGGCTAGCAGAGGAACCGAGGGGATTCAGTCAGGGAGGTAGAAGAGTCAAAATGACATGGTATCCGGAAGCCAAGCGAGAAGAGATTATCGTGCGGGAAGAGATGGCCATCCATGACATAAGCTTCAGCGAGTAGGGAAAAAAAGTTTCACAACAAATTTACTGGATTTTTCAATTAGGAGATAATCAGTGACCTTCAAAAGAACAGTTTCAATAAGATGCTGGCAATAAATACAGCTTGTGTGCCTCCAAAGCTCATGGGCTTAACGACTATTAGTTCTACATCTTTATTGCTTGCGTAAGAGATATGGTCGCAGGAGAGACAGGAAGGGAGGAATGCCAGAAGTTCTTGAGAGAGACTGAAAAAGAAGATAGGAAAATGCCAAAACCAATTGCATAGTCCTACTCTGAACCTGCCTCCTCCAAGTTACTAACTCCAGACCTAAAAATAAGAGGTGGCTCAAGTGGCATGGGTTCTTGAATGTCACCTGAGACCCCAGGTGAGTCAATGGAAGGGCAGGTAACCCAAATCCGCTGAGAAAGGGAGGAGGGGAGTGGCCACTGGGAGGCTCAGGTGTGACTTGGCTATTTTAAGTTTGAAGATGATCCATTCCCTTCTACTTGCCCTATGACCTAGCTGATACCATCTTCTTTAAAGATTAACTACAACAATTTGGAAGCCAAGTGGTTTTAGCCACA